GTCTGTGTCGTTCTGCAGCGGGGTGTGGCCCTGCCTGTGTCTGTGTTGGAGGAGGCTTAATAGCTTGGCTCAGCAAGACAGGTTAAAGGGGGCCCAGGCTGGCAGAACAGGGGGGCTCAGTGGTATCTCAGCCCATCAAGTGGCATCCTGAAGGGGGGCAATCTGTGACAGCGAGCTTTGCAAAGACAGACACCGAAACATCATGCAGGCAAAATGACTGACTCAGCACCTTGGTGGTGGCGAGAGAACATTTAATAACCCTGGTAGCCTTAGTGTGCCATTGGCCAGTGAATTGCTTAGCGGAGTGGGGCAGTGGGGTGCCCCCTCACCCACCCGCTGCCGCAGCCCTTCCAGCTAATGATGAGGAAAGGGGCCCATGTGGCTTAGGAGCAGGGATCCCCACCCCGCCTCCCCTTTTGGGGGTGCTTGTCTAAGCCCAGATTCCCCACGTGGCTCGGGGAGAGGGGGTCGTAAGGCAAGGCCAAACCGCCCACTGAGAAATCGAGCGACACCTCAGCACCAGGTGCCTCTGGGGAGAAGACGACTATGCCTTGAAGAGTCTCCCCTAAGGAGCAGCTGGCCTGTCCTGGGCTCAGTCAGCAGCCCTGACCTCCCCCCATCATTGGGGCATCTGCTTCAAAGAAGAACACACCCAGCAGTCCCTCAGGTGAGGCAATGAAAAGACGGGAGGGCGTCCTGGCCTTGTCACCCATCCCCTGCCAAGTCAGACCCATGAACCCATCTCTGTTCCCACCTCCTGGGTGCTGGTGTTGGGTTCGTCCCTGCCCTGCTGATCTGTCTGCTCCAATAGCCTGTCGGAGGACTCGCCCGTGCTTTCCAGTTTGGCGTAGCCTACCAGGCTGATGTGGTCAAGTCTAGGCCAGCTCCTGTTCTTCCGGTCTTTGATGGGCGCCACCAGCAGCACGCCCGGGCTGCCAAGGTCCAGCGACTTGGAGTGACCCGGATTGTGGAGCTGAACGTCTGAGTTGAAGTCGTTCTCGGTGCCTTCTGGGTCCAGGTACGTCTCGCCAGCGGCGACGGACAGAGGCCTGTTGTCTATGTTAATAATGACATGGCCACCCTGGAGGTCATCTCCTCTGGGGGAGACGCTGCCGACCCTGGGTGGGAGAGTCCAGGAGAGCCGTGGTGCCTCATCCAGTGCCCCTGCCAGGCTGATCCCCCCCTCGTCGCCCGCCCCTGGAGATGCAGATGGCTTCTCAATGAGGCAGTTGTTCACCTTGATGACGGGAAGTGACCGGGCGGTGGCAGCCAAGGAAATTACCGACTCGGCCCCGCGGGTGAAGGACAGATTGAGGTTCCCCTCCATGGAGTTGCCAGAGTCTGAGCGGACACTGAGGAGGGACATGGAGGGGGAAACCCCCTTGTGATGGAGCAGCTGGGCTGTCGTCTGGAGCCTGTTGTGCCCGTAGCAGTCGGCCCATTTGTTCCTGGGACTGGAACAGGATTGGAAGCCGCTGGAGGAGAGATCCACCTCGTAACAGCCCTCGACACACTCGGCATTGGCCTTGAGGAGGGGCAAGCTAGTCCTCCTCTGGCAGTACTTGTCCTCCTGGCTGAAGTCCTGGAGGAGGCCCGGGGTCATGGAGTAGAGGCCTTTCTGCATCAACAGGCGGGTCTCCATGTCCCTGTTCTCGTACAGCATGGTGTTGGCGCAGATGACAATGAAGAGGCCGACGCCCATGATGACGGGGCCAATCAGCTTCAGCTTCTCACTGTGAGGGAAGTAGCGGGCCTGAGCAGAGACCTTCACTTCCTTCTTCATGTCCCCCATGCCGCTGGAGTTACCCGGCCTGGCCCCGGGCCCGGCTG